ACTGTTATTACGGACATATATATATATATATATATGGTAAGAAAAAGTCATTTTCCATTTTTTTGTGTTTTAAAAGTCTTAAAAGATATTGCCACGGGTTCTTGTTAGAAATGCTTTTTTCTGTTTTTTCAGGAAAATTCAGTTACTTAGCACAGTTATTAGAATTCCAACAGCAACAGTAATATTTTTACCACCTTTTACATTGAATTCATGACCATGATGTAATCAAAAAATTAAAATTATAGGGCGTTGAATACTCTCAAAATAGTTTTGGTTATAAAGAACATAGTACAGTCATATCCATATCTAGAAAATCATTTTAGACAAAAATTCGAAAGAATAGTATCAAAACCAATTTTAATTACAACTAATTTTTGTTAAGATCATTTATGAATGTCTTAAAAATATATGCTTATATACAAGATCATATTAAGCAATTGCTGGAAATTAAAGTACAAAAAATTTCCTTCAAATACATACATTTAATGAAATGAGTGAACTCAAAAGTAATAAGTAATAATGTGTAAATGGTAAAGAAGCAGTTTTTTAGGAATCACGTATCCTTTAAAACTCATTTTAAATGTTCTGAAATTCAAAGATAGGAATTCTTTCAGCGTAGTTTTCAAAATAGCTTCTTCAATAATGGCTCTTATTTTTCTTTCTTATTAGAAAGCAGCACCGAAATAAAGAAATAAGAATTACATTTCAAGATCAAAAATTGTAATCTATACCATTGCAATTTATATTCAAGAATTCGAATGCTTAATTCTATATCTTCAATGATTCTTTATTCTTACAATTCTCTTTCTTCAAATAATTAAAATAATTTTAATCCTAATTAGCGTAGACTCTCATAACGAATTGTTCGAAATCGTTTCTTTATCATTAAAATAGAACAAACCCTAAATGAGCTTAGACATTCTTCTAAGAGTAATTAGGTTTCTTTTGTTAAAGATCTTTTTCTAAATACCATCAACAAGTAAATAATGAGTATTCCATCAACGAACGATATCCTTTTCATTGTTTAAATCTTACCTAAAAGTAAAAGTACATTTCAAAATAAATAAGTATGTGAGTTTTCATTATTGATACAATCTACATGAAGTTATGTAAAAATAATCCTAGTCCAATGTTTATTCATAATACTCTTTTAGATGCAAAAAGAGAATTGAGGACAAATCATTTTATATTAAAATTGCAGAGAACCAAATTTTTTAATTATATTTTATTGTCTGAACAATAAAATATTACTAAAACATTCCGGACTTAGTTGTGCAAAATGAAAGTAAATATGTTTGATACAAAGGTCTTTGAGTAGCTAATTAAATGATATTTCTTTGAATGTATAAATAGCTGCTTTGAAGTTCTTAAAAGTTACATTAATTTATATTAATAAACATGTGATTTGTTTTTAATTTTTGAGTTTTCAGTAAACTGATTTAAAAAATATTTTAAAAACTTAGTAATTGTTATAGATTATAATTATTTTTATCTTCTGTGAATAAACTTTTTTTTATTAATGTATTTTTCAACCGGAACCAGCTACGCATATTAATTTGAAAAAATAAACAAGGTGCAATCTCACAAGTTCAGTTCAAGTTTATAATAATAGAAAATAAAGTTAAACTTAACCTGGTTTTTGCTAAATTTAAACCATGATATAAAATAAATAATCCCAAGAAACTGAAGCGTTAAGATATTACTTAATTAAAAGCAAAAATATTCAAATTCAAAAATATACAAATTGGAAATAACAGTTCACGTGTTTCAATCGTTAAAAATAGACGCTAATTTGAAAGCCTCGCCAGATGTGAATGAGGAAAAACAGAAGTAATTTGGAGAAAAAAAATTTATATTTCAAACTACTTTTGTTTCTTCTCATCTACATCTGGAAAGTCTTGAAATGGGGCTCCTATTTTTGAGCGCTTGAACCATGTTGACTGTTATTTCCAATTTGTATATTTTTAAGCAAATTAAGTTTTTAATCAAGCTAAACCATAATAATTTGTGATTAAAATCAGAAACGATTAATGTGAACAATACTTTTTATTTTATTTTATTGGTTACTTTTTAAGGATATATTATATTTGAATGATATTATTGCCCCTAACGTATTCCAAAACGATTGGTTGTAATATCTACATTAAAATGCTTGAGCTTATAATGCGCACATTGATGTAAATGCAGCGTAATTGTATGTTGTGCATATTCTTTTAACCCAACAATGTTGGTAGAATAAATACATTGCGAATTTTTTCTTTTCAGATTCTCCAGTTTGCGTCCCGGGGCAAAAAATACTCTACGGTGCAACAAAGCATGAAGAGGTCAAAGTTATTTGTGAAGTGGACGCTGATCCAACTGATATCACGTTCACGTGGAGTTTCAACAAGTCCGGAGAGAATATTGAAGATGTTCCTTTTGTGAATGAAGGTACTCGTAGTATTGCAACGGTCACTGCCAAAACAGATTACGACTACGGAACTCTTACATGCTCCAGCAGCAACGGCGTGGGTATTCAAAGAGAGCCATGTGTGTTCACTGTTATTACGGCTGGTGTGTATACTAATGCTCAAAATTGAATGTTTAGATTAGATTTATTAACCGTTATAGACTTGTTAGTGGGTTGCGAGTATTTTTTTATTATTTAAGTATACTCTTCTATACAGTCTCATATTAGCTACCTTGAATCATATTGTGTTTCTTTCTTATTCATCTTAAAAATATTTAAGTTTATTCTATTTTACAAGATTGATTTTTCATTTCACATAATATTCGACAAGTTCAAGTACGAAAGTTCGGGATAACGTAATTCTTCTTCTTCCTAGGCACTACAGCCGTTTTGATTTTAATTTTTTGCGTCCTGCAAGGCTTGCAATACAGTTCGTTTTATTCAAAAGCAGTAATAAGTTATAACATTTGTATGTGTTAACTTTACATTCATTAAACCAAAATAATTGACCAAAATTTATTTTTTTAATTTTCAGAGATTTCTTATTCTGTATTAACTAATACCACCAAACACAATGATGAATGCTTTAAAATACTTTTTTACTAATGCAACCTAATTATGCAAAAATTATGTCATTTAAATACATAGCTATATGTACAGCTAATTGCTAAAATTTGTAGCCAAACGATTTTTAGTTTTTCGAAAATTTTCTATTAAATAATCAAATATTGAATTTGAGTGCTATTACGAGAATAATCACCGAGTTTATAAGGATAATCACTAGATTTAGTAATCATAAATCATTATTCAAGAATAAAAAGAAAAATAAATGAAATATGACCTATGTTTTCAAAAATTATATTTTAATGCTTGGAATTGGACTTTAGCCAGTAATCTCTGGAAGGAAGTTGGTTAATTTGTTTTAAAAATATTTTAACACAGATGATTTCAAAGCATTGTAATGTAACCAAAAAATATAAGAATACATTAATTTTCCAAATTCCTTTACATAACCTTCTCTGAGACTGTTCTTCGAAAACTAAGTAACAATTCCAAGAGTACAATTCGATGAAACTACAATTCCAATCTGGGGTGCCATAAATATTGTCAAACTATTATTCATGTCAGTGATGATTACTATCTGTGGTAAAAGGCATTACTGGTAATGTGTTAAACGGTGCCTAACATATTAACAGAGGTACCTAATATATGTACTGTCGTAATAGATTTTTAAGGCCTTACGATACTGAATAATATCGAACAGTTTGTTTAGGAAATTATAGGCCATTTATCAACTGTTGTCAGTTTATTACAGTTCGTAGAAGCTGTTACATTAAATTAGAACATCTTTAGCCATCACCCTCCACTATTACTTACAGTACCGCTCAAAAGTATCAGTACACCTGGAAACTTATAAAAAAATGGCAAAATTCAAAGTGTCATAACTTCTTTAAAAATGATCAAAAATGCTTCTGCTTTAGCTTATTTTGAAGCTTCAAATCTCTACTTTTATGTATTTTAATTGTTTTTAATTAATATATTTTGCAACTATGTACAATTACACTCTAAACAATCATAGAAAATTGTATTAATTTTTTGTGAAGTTTGACGCGATGTACGGGCACAAACGGGTCAGATATTGTTAATTTTTATTATACCATTGAAAAATTTGGACTTTTAGCTTTCATTTAAAAAAAAAAATTCCAAAAAAACATGTTTTTTGACGAAGTTATTGTCAAATAAAAAAAAAGTTTTTTTTTCAGAATTTAATGATTTTTCAGCAATTATAATGAATTTTAGTGTAATTATAATATGATATGAAAATTTTTTAATTAAAATAAATTAAAATTTAATATTTCTCGATAATATTATTTCATAATTTATTATAAAAATTTTAACTTTTTTTTTGGAAAATATAATGATGAAATAAGAATCAACGTACAATGTACATACATGTACATACAATGTACATACAACGTACAATGTACATACATTTTTGTTTTCAAATTTTTTCTGAGAAAAATACGAAAAAATAAATTTCAAAATATTAAATTGTAAACGTTGATTCTTATTTCATTATTATATTTTCCAAAAAAAAAAGTTAAAATTGTTATAATAAATTATGAAATAATATTATCGAGAAATATTAAATTTTAATTTATTTTAATTAAAAAATTTTCATATCATATTATAATTACACTAAAATTCATTATAATTGCTGAAAAATCATTAAATTCTGAAAAAAAACCTTTTTTTTTATTTGACAATAACTTCGTCAAAAAACATGTTTTTTTGGAATTTTTTTTTTAAATGAAAGCTAAAAGTCCAAATTTTTCAATGGTATAATAAAAATTAACAATATCTAACCCCTTTGTGCCCGTACATCGCGTCAAACTTCACAAAAAATTAATACAATTTTCTATGATTGTTTAGAGTGTAATTGTACATAGTTGCAAAGTATATTAATTAAAAACAATTAGAGTACATAAAAGTAGCGATTTTAAGCTTCAAAATGAGCTAAAACAGAAGCATTTTTGATCATTTTTAAAGAAGTTATGACACTTTGAATTTTGCTATTTTTTTATAAGTTTCTAGGTGTACTGATACTTTTGAGCGGTACTGTATGAATAGGTGCAAGACATATATATTGAGAAAAGTTATGTCTAAATGCAAAGTTATCGCGATCTATTTTTTATTATTCAAAAGATTACTCTAATGCAAAATGTTCAGACTAAAATTATGCAAAATATAAGAGTTCTTCATTGATTTCCTAATTTTTATGAAGGTCTAAAAATCTCTCCAAACAAATAATTTATTAAAAAGTTAAATAGCCTTTTTTTAAAAAAATTATTTAAGCTGCCTGTCTACTTCAAAGTTCCAACAACTAATTTTAGTAAGATATTATCTTTGCTATAAAATTAAAGCGTAAAATGTCCTTTGGCGTAAATTCAAGATAATCCAACTTATCTTTTTTTTTCTCACTTAACTTTTTCATTTCCCTCTGGGTAAGAGATTTGAAGAATGTCCTTAAGATACTTATTTTACTTTAACAGCTGCAAGTTTTATTTTTGCATTTTTTGACAGAAAACTTTACCGCATCTTAACAGACAACTTATTGTAATATTTGAAATAAACTGTATAATAAGATATAAGAAGGAGAGAGGGTTTTACTCTGCACCTCAAACTTGGGTCAGTAAAAGTAATTGTGTCCAGGGAANATATGCTACTCATAGCTGCAGGTTAAGGTACTATCTGTTGTACTGTGAACCATTTCCATCAGATTTGCAAAACATGTGCTAGCGAGCATTTGTTTTCTATTTCCTAAAAAGTTATTAATATTTTAGTTAGTTAATTTTTTAATAAACAATAACAATCCATTTGAAAACAAAACTGAGGAAGAACAGTACTATAATACCATTCTTTTTTATGATAACATTCAATTTTTTAAGAAAAAAATATTCTTGTTTGTCTTTGCAAACTAAGAAAAAATGTATACATATGCTGTAGTTTGGAGAAGTCTCCGTAATGCACCTAGGACCTGGTCAAAATATGTGAAGAAAATCTAGTGAGCAAAAATACTCTGCCTTGTGGGCTATGACACCTTCAATGTGAAAAAAAGTTTTTAGTAAAGCTATAACATTTTTGAAGTATTTCTCTAAAATATCCATTGCTATTACGTTTATGATTAACTTAGTTTATTTACACCTGATAACATGGAAAATAACTCTGAATATTTGAATACCTAAACTTAATCAACTAGCAAGTTTTATAAAAAAAGAACTCAAAACAAATGTAATCCTATGAGGGAAATCTAATGGACTATGATACGAAATGTGCTGATTCAAGGTACAAGAGCACGTTGTACAATTGAAACGATTTTTCTTGTCTTATAATTTACAATATATTTAGTGCGTTTAGCATCACTAAATGTTGCACTCACCCAAAATTGCAGCAATATTTTTAAATACCTCCTATTGAGGAATTTCTGTATTCAAGATTAATTCTGATCCCGATAGTGCTTTACGATTACTTGAATACTTTTGTATGTTTGTTTTATAGCTTTTTTATTGGAAAATCTATATTATAATCTATTTACTGTTAAAAATTATTTTTAAACTTTAATGTTATATTATAAAAATTATAGTGTTAAGCATTTTCTGGGGAAAGGATTAATTGAGAGTAAGTATTTTTAGTGGCAAAAAAAAATTGCATGAATATAGTCCCTGAAATTCAATAATAATGTAGATAAATTTTTTTGTTTATTGTAAAACACAGTAAAGCTGATGGCAGAGTTAAATTTAAATTTTAATATTCTTTTCGTTTCGTAAGTTAAGTTCACGAAAAATTTAATATTCAGCTTTAAACTTGTATTTCTCAGGTCCACCAGAACCTGTTCAGAATTGCACCATCATGAACGTTACCCAGCATTCCTTTCGCCTGGAATGCATGGAGGGATCGAATGGCGGTTTAAGACAGTTTTTCGTCATGGAAGTTCACGACACAGCATTGCACAGTCTGAGAGGCAACCAAACTGCTGACTTGCCATTCTTCTTAGCAAGAGATCTTCCCCCTGCCACCAGCTTTGTTGTCGTTGTATATGCTGTGAATGCGAAAGGAAGGAGCCAAGCTGTAGTCCTTAGAGCTAATACTTTGAGCATTAAGCAGGTTGAACAACAAAAAGGTGCGCTGATTAATCTCCCTACTCTTCTCATATAACTATGATTTTTTGTTTCAACTTTCATGCTGAAGAAATATGATTTCATATTGTAGAAAAAATTCGGGTCTTTAACTTGTTAAAATTTAGCGTTGAAACTTTTTCATTGTTTTGCATTTTCCTACAATTATGTACTATAAGAAATTAAACTAAACTCATCAGATACCTTAATCTATTTTACTTTTATTTATTTTTGAATAAGTTTATTCCCACTTCAAAATTTTAGTTTTTTTTTATTTTATTTTCCATAGAAAAATCTAAAATTAACTTATCCTCCACATTTATATTTCATATTCATTTCATTGTAATTAGTGTCTAAATATTTTTACTTAACTTGCTAGAATGAAAAAAAAACTGACTTTATCAAATAGTTATTTGACATAATTATTTTTTTTAACACGATCAGCATTGAACTGTTATCAATAATAGCAAAATAAAGAATTTGTCTGTGCGTGTGTGTCCCTCTTTTAACTCCAGAACTGAGTGAACTAGAGTCCTGAAATTCGGACAGTGGGTGAAGGAAGTGATTTTAATTCCCGATTATGAGCAATGTTTGAAAATATTTCAGTTAGATGGTTCAGGGGAGACATTTGAAAAATTTAATTTTCTCATTGAATCCCCATTGATATCAATGAAATTTCAAACGATTTTAAAAAAGATATCGCCAGTGATGTTTGCTTTCTCATATTTCCCATTTTTTTTATTCATTAAGTCAGATAAACACTCAATGATCAGCGTGAATGTAGTAGCATAGGTGAACTACGTCACAAAAATAATATTTCAAAAATAACTTGAAACCAATACTATCTGTAATAAAAAAATAAACTTAAAAATCAAAATTAATGTAGAAATGGTATAGTGCGACTTTGAGGAGAACTCCTCTAGACTGATAGTCTGGGTTGTCTGCTGCTATGGTAACAAGCAAGATCACATTTCTAATTGGGGTGAAATGGAGGAAAGAAGGTGTCGATTGGTTTACTAACGACGACCTACTTTAAGATTAAAACAAAACTATTCACCCTACACCCCTATTCGAAGTGATCTTTCCTCGTAACCATAGCACCTACCACGACGCGAGACGGGTGACTGGGGGAGTTCTGAAAGCCGCACTATACTGATTTGAGTAGGAGAAAGGCAAAATTTCGCAACGCTATATTTAAGACAATGTAATGTAACGGAAATTAAGAAAGTTATTTTCTAAAAAGCAAAGCTAATGGAAAAGTGGTACTAGTTTGTTTACAAAAAAGTTAATAGTCGCAAAACTATTATTAAAGACAATAATGCTTAATTAACTATGTTAATACAATTGAAATAAAAAAATAAGTTATGTACCTGGAACCTCAAAATTTATGGAGAAATGAACCTTCAGGAGGAACATAGAAAAGCACCCTACTGTTATTGACGACAGTGGTGCTTAATTAATTTTGGTAATAGTCACCTTCAATATTATGGCAATCAGTGCAATTTAATCAATACCAAATATATTAACCCTTTGCTGTCGTATGTCTACTCTTAGCCACCAACGCTTTTTTGCCGTTCTAGTCGTATATCTGCTCTCAGTATCCACAGCAAGGAACCATACGGATCTCAGATTATATTTAGTTGACAAGCTTCGGAGAAATTCCACGGAATTCGAAATAATATTTTATAAATTGTGTTTAAATAAATTAATTCCAACCAGCATGACACCCAGGTATAGACTTATTACTGCCGCAAAGGGTTAATGTAATTAGACTTAATATCTCTGGTACCTACTAAGACTGTATCAATGCTGCGCAGTTTTGATATAGATATTCTGGAAAGAGTTTTCACAGGCCTTTGAAAAGCATAAGTACCAGTGAAAATCGCTTAATTGTTATGAAATTCGACTATCTGGAACTGTCCACGAGCAATTGAATCATGCAAAATAAATACAGATAATCTTTATTTTCAACAATGTTTTGATTAATTCAGATGATTATTAGATGCTTAATAGAAATGTGTTCTGCTTAATCTAATAGCTTAACGCCACCAATAATGATAAAATATTATAATAAATAAAAAATGGAATTATTTTAGCTTTATTAATTGTGTTTTAAGTACCTTTTATTTTTGTGCATGATTTCGCAGTGTTGTTCTTTACTGATTTATTGATAGTTAATTTTTTTCACACTGTACGGAGAGCGAGCTTTCAGCTAATCTATAATAATAAAATGAAGAATTTGTTTGTGTCTCTTTCGTATAACTCCGGAACTGTTTGTTCTGTCGGGTCGGTAACCTCGTCATATTGTGGTAGTGACACTTGTGATAAAAATAAGAAGCTATTAACTACTACTTACACTTCAGTGCGCGATTTAACTGAGAGAAATAAAGAAGTAAATTCAAAAAGTTGTCTCTTGTTCTTTTACAGTTTTTAAATAATATTACACTAAATATTTCAAACCGCTACAGTTCTGTCATCCTCAAATTCGAAATTACGAATTTAACTCGAGATCCTCGTGCAAAACTTTCAACTTAATCCTACAAAAGTGTTTGAAAAATGAAATTTTTTACATTGGCGTGGAATTTGCTATTGATAAAAAAGAAACTGCTTCAGACGATTTCTTTCTTTCAAATATTTTAAAGATTACATCAGTGTCATTTGCTAGCTTATAGCTCTCATAAAATAATGGAGTTTCTTGTACGTTCTTGATTTAATTATTCTTTATTCGTTATGTTAGATAAACTCAATGATCAGCAAAAATGTGTTTGAATTGGCTGATTGGATTAATAATTTGTATTTCTGAAGTTGAAACCGAGTGTTTATTTTGTTTATAGTTATGCTTTTAAAACGCGAATCTATGAAACTAAATAATTTAAAATCAACAGTAAATTAAATAAAACAAATTTTAAAATTTGTATTGAAAAGCATAATTCATTGAAAAATAGTATTAATTTATGTAGGGGAAATGTAAGAAAATACCAAAATCTTATTGACGCAGGTGATTAAATTTGTTATGAGGTAATAATTTAATTAGCAAGTAGTAATATTCCAGAAAGTAAAGTTAATTGAGAAAAAGTAATCATTCATTCTGTGGAACCGGAAAATAACACCATGTTATTATTGACACCAATGAGGATTTATTAATTTTGGCAATATGTACAAATTGAAATAAAAAAAGTCGTGTTCTTAATAGAAAAATTAATGGAAAGAGGGTACTAAAGGGAAACGTGAAAAAACAAACTATTATAGACACCATTGATGCTTGATTTGTTTTGATAATAAGTGCTAACTTAAATAAAAAAAAAGGTTACGCACTTAAGTACTTTAAAGCAAAAGTATTAAGGAAATTGCACTAGCTCATTTAGGAGAAATGTTGAAAATTGCCATATTATTATTGACGCCAATGATGCTTAATTGTTTTCAGTAAGCTCTACTGGTGTTATGGTAACTGGACAGTTTTAATAAGCACTAATTGAACAAATATAAGTACAATATTCATATATTTGGTACCTATTAAAAGTACATCAATACTGAGAAAAGAGTTATCTAGAGGTCTTCTAAAGGGATACATAATTACGGAATAAAATCACGCGATTGTTCTAAATTAGCTGTCTTTGAGTTGTCCTCAAACAACAGCTTCATGGCAAATGATACTGAATACAGTTAATCTTCATTCTAATAACGCAAAACCACCCGAAAGAAGAAAATATAATAATTGACTTAAGAAATGTCATTTTTTGAGTTAATTGTGTTGGTATATGAATTAACTGTGTTGGTATATGTATTTTATTTTGTGCAAAATTTTGCAGTTTTTTTAGTGCTGATATAGTTATTGCTTACTTTTTTCCACGGCGTACGAAGAACGAATATTCAGCCAGTTTCCTCATAATTTAATCCTGGAAATTCAGAAAAATATATCCCATCCCTAATTATTGGAAGTTAGCTTTTCAACTAAATTTATTATTTACGGTTTCATAATTTATTTATTTTTATCATCGCTCGTACAAAAGCATTTTATAAAAAAAAGAATCCAACAAATCATCCAATATAGCAAATTCATAATGAAAATGCATATATATATATATATATTTATATATATATAATATCTTTATTTCCATGAATTGAAATTTCAGATACAATAAAAAACTTATTCTAACTGCTATTTTTAGTTCCCTTCTCAGTAATAAATATGTTACTCTATTTATTACAAATAAATGTTTTAGTAATAAATATGTTACTCTATTTATTACAAATAAATGTTTTAATAATAAATATGTTACTCTATCTACTTTTTTTACCCAATGATTAAAACAGTAAAAAACTATCTACTTTTTTTTAACCAACCATTAAAACAGTAAAAAACTAAGTCATTAAGGCGGTGCAATCGCATTTTATTAATTGTTTTAAGAATTGTGGAAATGCCTACTTTAATGTCATTTGAGCAATTCTTTCTTGATTTAAAAAAGAATCAACAACAAAAATATTTAACTAGTACACTATAACTCAGAAATGAAAAAAAAAAACATTTCATAAATTTAAAAAATAAATGATTGTATATTATTTTACTGAATACATATTTTTCATAACTAGCATCCCTTACTGTTAGAATGTATTAAATGCCTGGATTTCTTACAAATTTCCAAAATGAAGAACATTTTTATAATTATAATGATTAAACATTTATTTTTTAAAATGATTGCACCAAAAATAGATCTATGCCCATTAATTGAATTAATTTCAAAATAAATTTTTAAAAAAAGCACCGTTATCATACATTCTGTAAAAATTGCAGAAATAATAGAAATAAATGAGACTAATTTACCGCATCGTTATGTTCATTTAATTATTTTGTTGCACTTGCTGCTTCATTTTTCAGAATAAGTGAGAAATATTTGTTTTGCTTCGTTCCTAATATTTTTTTCCTTCCGAAAATATAAATTTAACAAACTTGATAAATTAACATTTTCATCTTCATTATCTTCGTGAATTCTGAGAGAAGAAAATTTTACTTTCCGCTGCATTGAAATAAATAGTAATATAATTTTATCTTGATATTTTTTTTTCTTAACTGAAACGGAAATGTGACTTAAGCTTTATTAATGAATACTGCATAATTCTTATGTTATTTTGTTATTTATCTTATTTTAAAAATACAAAGTAATGATAAAAGTATTCCATAAAAAGAATTACGTGAATTGAATATTTTTTTTTAATTATCTAATTTGTGGAATTGCTGTATTGATTCAAATACATGAATTAAATTTCATTCCAGTTTTTATGATTTTTGCATTAAACACGAGAATCGATGTATAAAAATGATTTTATTTAATTAACTGTTTGCTTACTCTTAGTTTTATAGATTTACATAAAATTTATTAAACAGATGTTAATAATTCATGCCAAAAAATCAATTTGAACAAAGAATTAACAATTTCATCATAAAATATGTATATGCAGGCTTATAATAAACTATCTAAAAACACAAATAATTAATATATTTGAAGCAGCAAAAAATATTTCATTAATAGTTCATTAAATATATGATATAGTTTTCCGGAAGAAGCACTTTATGTTTTAGTTTTAATTTTGATAAAGTTTCAAATGAGAAGAAATACTATTACTATTTATTTTCTTTTAAACTTTTTCTAGAATTTACAATTAATTATTCGTTTATGTTCACCAATTTAGATTTAAAAGTGAAGTTTGAAAATTTTTAATTAATTTGAAGTATAAAATGTAATATATTTTATAGTTTCGGACAGAAATTTTTTCTTTAATTAGTTTTGTTAGACATTTTTTTAAGAATAATTTTTAACTGTTAAATAAATCATTCCATTCTATTGCTTCCTTTTTTAAAAAATTAAAGAATGGATTTTCAGTTAAAAATGCTTTATAACTAATTTTATGTTTGATTATTTCGATGTAAATAATTTTATTTTAAGGAAGTAAAAAGTATTTCTTTATTGCTTACTTCAGAATTTAAATGTCATATTTTGATTTTTTCTCGATGCTCATCCTTTTAAATAAATCAGTTACTTTTTACACTCAGAGTCAATAATTTCAATATTTAGGACTACTCGAGTGAGTAGAAAAAATATTACATAACGATATTATGAGATATGGGCTGCAGAGTTCGATTAAAAAACAATTATCCAACATGGTTCGGGTTACGATTTTCGAATTTTGAAATTTTTAAGTGGTCAAAACTAATTATTTTTCCTTATGAACGTGATTTTTACAGTGAAAAAACGAAAATTGAGGTAAAACAATATTTTAATACAAATAGTGGTAAAACTGGAAGGAAAAAGAGGAAAGAGGAAAAAGAGGAAGAGAGAGAGAGAGATGTGGTAGATAAATTATCTTCCTTCTTTTATTCCGTCGCCAATGTCTAATCAGTTAAATTGTTTACACATTCAGTACCTCTGACCAGCGCAGCTAGTTTCTTTGTTTAAAATATCGTTTCCACTCCATTTATAATTTTTTACGGTAAAAAAACATGTTTCTATGAAAAAGAGAAAGCGTTGCGCTTTGAAAACTTGAAACGCCTATCACTGTATCCATTGTTAAATATTTTTTTTTCAGATTGTTCTTAGGTATATATTTGTAAATACCTTTTCTTATATTTTTATATTGAAAAAATGTGTAATAGCAAGAGTTATTTTGTTAGTCGCCGAACGGTATTCCTCCCATGAGGTATATATTTGGAATTTTTTAAAAAAAATTTTAAATTTTTTTCCTTTTTTAATCACCATGCCAGTTTTTTTTATACACATCTCTGTTCTTGAGAAATTTTTTTTGCGTGAATGAAAAGCGAAAAAATACGTAAGGGAGTGTCGGGTACCCCACCCACTGTCAATTTCATACGTATAGAATATCTTTCAAAGTCAATGGGCCATCGGACATTAATTGTTATATTAAAAAAAGATTTGACGATTGGTAAACAATAGTTTTGAAAATATGCTGATTACAGTAGTCATGAAATTAAGAAAAATCGGTTGAATTTTGCAATTAAGGTGATGAATGAGGTTTATCTATTGTCAATGCATTGGTCATTTTCATTTACACCTGCAAAAACAGTCAAGAATTTTTGTACCTGGTTGCGGCTACCCGACACATTTTGAAAAGAGCTGAAAAACATGTTTTTTTTAATTTCTATTTTTTTAAGTTAAACTATTCTTTTTTGGTTTAATCTTTTTGCACTATTTAATTAGATGATAAAACAATAGAAACATACAAAATATTGATTATTACTCAATATTATACGAATATATAAGCAATACTCCTTAAGTGTGGGGGCGAGGCTACCCGACTCTCCCCTATATGGAGTTTTCTACAGATGTAGATTTTACGAAAATTTCACACAAAAAAATCAGGAACTGCAAATAAATTTAACCATGGGATCAAAATATTGTACTCAAGATTATTATGTTGCCATGTTTACAAGGCTAAAAAAAGAATTAAATGTATGGTGCTTTCAGAAACTTGCTGTCAAAATATTTTAATATTGATCTAAAGAAAAATTCACAAATTTCATTTGCTATCTTATAGTAAAATTTGACAACAAAATTGTGATACACTGCAATGACAGTTCGAACAAAAAAATTTGACAGTACAAGGGAATAAAACATGTCAAATAAAATATAATTTAATCGAGGATGATTGTCCTTTATAATGTAATCTTCATCAATACTATAAAATAAAATTTGTAGAAAAATCCCATCCAGATATCCAGCTTTCTTTCCACACAAAAACTACGTGCGAAATCATAAGAAACGTATTAAATTTTTAATATACTCAGATCGGTTTTTTTTCATGAGGAACCAATTACTATCCAGAACAAAATTAAACGAAAATAAGGTTTTCGGCGCATGCACTGTATGAAAGTATTACTTTAAATGCTATATCCAGTACATATTTTTGGAATTTACTTTAAATTTCAAATTATATTTCAATTATTAGTTTAAAATTACTCTTAATTTTTTTTTTAATTTCATTGAATATTTCTGCAGTTTCAGTAACAAAACGTGAGGTAAAAAAATATTTTTCTTACTTATAAGGATGTCTACATTTCCATACATACTTGTTTTCGCCCGTAATTTATTACCGGTCCGTCACTCAAACTTTTGTAAACTTTATAGTTTATTGGAATGTATGATATTTACCATTACCTAAACATTTCTAAAGTTCTAAAATAATTCTTTATGTATTTCTTGAGAAATACATACACATATATCTTATTATTATTATTTTATTATTGTTATTATAATTATAATTATTATTATTTTTTTATTATTATTATTAATATTATTATTATTATTTTATTATTATTATTATTATTATTATTATTATTAAATATTATTATTATGTCAGAAACATTTTTAACTCATATATTATATTTTAAACTTCTTAAACAAGAAAAGTTTCTCACCGTAAATTTCATTCGCGTTATAAATACGAATCACCATTACTGACATTGCTTTGCGTAGTATTATTCATTCTTATTTAATTTTTAATGTCACATGTCACCATAGTAAAATCTGATTATCTGTATTAAAAAGAAAAGCAATTTTCTAATTAAAAAAATTTCCATTACAGCAATTATTTCAGCATAAAAATTGTGCCGTATTCCAACCTTAAAAATGTAATTAAAGTTTTGACATTGGCATCGAAGTGAAAGTCTGTTATTTGTTTTAAGCCTGCTATATTTAATTTTGTTAATTTTTCAAAGAGAAATTTAAGAATGTAATTAAAGAGAGACGGAAAGAAAGGGGAAAAATCTACAATCTCAGTGCATTTTTAAAACAAATGTAAATCTTTATATAATCACATCATTTATATCAAATTATTTAAAATAATTAGTTTTTCAACTTGTACATCTTGAAAAAGTACATGATTTTAACATTCATAATTCGAAAAATAACTGTTTAAATTATTTGATACATTTGATGTAACATGAAATTAGATGAATCATTCAGATGGAAAAAAAATTCGCCCTTATCTGCTACGATTTTCCAAAGTTCAAATATTTTACCGGACTTATATTTATTTCGAAACTGAAGAATTTTGTGTACTAAGCTGCTTTTATTGTGTTATGTAAATGCCTCTCTTTTTTCATATCTTTCCTAGAGGCAGTCGATGGCAGTTGACGTCACAGGTTATGATCGTCATTCTTTCAGCATTCATACTTGTCATTCTCCTCTTAGGGATAGCCCTCATTATCATAAGAAAAACAAGAAGAAGAATGCAAGATCAAAAAAGTATGTATCGTTACATTTAAAAAGGTACTATCAAGGTACTATAGTACAAAGGTATAGTATATAGGTACAGCAGTATGAAGTATTATTTTAGGTATAATTTTAACATATAAAAAATACTTTTATTTTCAGGAAAAAATAATAGCATTATACAACAGTAACAGGCCATTGTAGATATTAGCACATGATTCGAAATAAAAGTTAATAACTGAAATTTATTATAATTTTCCACTAGGTCTTAAGCATGAAATAATTTTTATTTTGTGACAGCAAAAAGAACATTTCTTGTATTTATTACTTATAGTTTAAGAAAAGTCAAGGGGGCAAGCGGGTACCTTCTCTATAGAAAAGTATATTAACAAAGCTCCAGATTGAGAACTTTTGAGAAACTTGGCAGAAATAAGTATGCAAAACAAAAATTTGTCACATTCTGGAAATCGCTCGTGTCGCTCAAAATCTGCTTATTTGATAGAACACTTCCTACTAAAAACGTACTTATGGAAAACAATTTACTTTTTCAGGGTGATTTTTAGGATTATAAACTATCTCAAAACTTCCACAGTACTCAAGATGCATGCATGTTTTTTTTTGTTTGTGTTTTGAATATTTTAAGAAAAGCTTTTAGATCCTGAGCTAGAACATTTTTTTAAGAAAAAAGGTGCAAGATAGATGTCAATTGGTTGGATTGTTTTATAATTTAGCAGTATTACGACAACCATTTTTCCTATAAATATTAAACAAGTTTTTAGGATGTTAGAAGATAGTTCGTTAAGATAATTGTTTCTTACAAAGGAATATGATTCCATGCTCTCAAAGCTACTGTCATCATTTTCTAGATACATTAACCTGTTCAAAAAATGTTTGATCTTAATTTCCAGGACCAGCTAGAAATTTAAACCAGCATTCGTAGTCCTTTTTCAATTAGAAAATTTTTAATGAGCGTAATCTTTAATGACAAGAGCTGTTTTATTGCATTTAATTAGTTTTCCCTGCTATAAAATTCGAAATGAAATTTTGCACAAAATTTTACTTTCTCAGATGGTTGAGCAATTTCATCATTTCTAAGCGGATTGCGGGATCATATCTCGAAGCTATCTGAATGGAAACAATTGACAATTTTGACAATTGCGTAAACAATTGCAAAGGGTTGGAGTGCAGCAACGAGCAAGAAGTGAATTCCCTTTCTAAAAAAGTAATAAATCTTGAACAGTGTTGGTCCAGTCAGTCAGATGTTCAAATCAAATAAAGATAAGCAATGAAGGAGAAACAGTATGCTGAATCTAAGAAATACACTCAAATATTTATGGTTTTCTAGGTATATCAGCAAATCTCTTCTAAGTAAATCGGCATTTCATGAGATCATTATAATTCTAATAAAATTTGCTTTAATACTTTTGAAGGTCCTAAAAAACTAGGAAAAGTCACGAAGGTAAAGTGTAATTTATATTTAGTATAGTATTTCTGATATAATTATTAGTAGTATATTGCTAGTATTTCTGGTATAATTAATTTAGGACTTAGCAACTCCCAATGTTGATTTGAGGTCAAAATGATCATTCTTGTCCTTCTTGTGTTAAATAACATAAGACATGAATTGATTAATGGGGAAAATTTATATTTCCTCATTTTTAAATGCGTGACCTTTAAAACCTATATAGTGTATCGTATCTTCTATATTGTTTGATTTGTGATTTTGCTAAGCAGCAGAAAGAAACCAGTGAATTTGTTTCATGAGGTTAACTTCATCTCATTAATTACTGAAGTCAGTCTGATATAAGTAAAGATGTACATATTCTTATAATTCATAGTCTCAAAGATAGTACGAAATGAAATAGGATTTAAACATAGAAAAAAATTACCTTTTTGACATGTATGATTTAACACGAGCTAAACCTGCCGAAATCTCCGGCTTTTAGAGGAAGAAAATAATTTTAGATACATAACAAAAAATTTATGCTTTCTCAACTGATTTAAATTATTTTATCCATTACGACTTTTAAGTCGTTACACACATATAAGGGAATAAATAAACGGGATGCGATACATTGAATATTCGTAAAGTTTTCAAACTTGCTTATTTAGTGATTGTTTTATATTGTGGATTTGTAAAACTTCCAGTAATGCCACTCTGATATTTAAATTTAAGGTTAAAGATTTCTTAAAATATTATTCAACTGAAATATATCATTCATTTCATTCCTTTTTAAAAAATAAATGAAGTAAAATGATTTTTTCACAACTAACAACTTAACCAGTACCAACTAAATTAATTTAATATTTTTTAAAGTTATATTAGCTAACTAGAGATGTTGGATTTTTAGGACTAACTAGAAATTTTTAAATACCCAGCATATTTCAACTTTTAGTCTGGATAATTAAAAACTATGTTTTTTTAAAAAATGTGATGTTATTATATGCACATCAGAGATGATAAATTGATAATTCCAGGCTACTAATCAGATTTGAATCTCAATTCCTCAGTAATAAAGCACCACAGAAAAATCACATTTATTAATGATGCGCATAACCCAAATACAACTGACGAATTATTTCCGTAAATCAATCTTGTAGGATCTACATATGAGCCATTTTACATTTTAAATTTCCTTTTACTTTTTATATGAACTTTGTTTTTGTTTGTATTATAAACTTTTCCTTATTATATAGTTTTAATTGATATTTAATCTTTTTTTTCCTTTATTTGTACATTTTTTATTCGTTTTTGGTCATATTGGTGCTTATTCAAAAAGCATAATACGGATACCTATATGTTCCTTCAAGAAGACTGGCACTATTATGTCATTTCTACCTTTTTTGTGGTAAAGATTTCATTTTATTTTTTCTTTACATTTTGTCTTATTTTTCTTTATTTGTGTTTTATTTTTTTTTTGTTGTTTTTTTATTACTTCTGTTTTTGTTGTTTTCATTATTAATAATTTTTTCATTTTTAGTTTTTCTAGTTTTTCTATTTTAGAATTCTTGTAACCAATTGTATTAGCGCTACATTAATTAATCAATAAAAGTATCAAAGTAAAGAAAAAAAAATAATTTTAATAGCATTGTTTCATTTTAAATGAACCCAACTAATTTACCGTAAAATACTTTAATTTCAAAAATTAAATTTTGATTCATTATAGTTATCCATACTAAAAGTTGTACGCTTTTAAATTGAAGTTAATTGAGGACCATTTACAAAAATAAATGCATTAGGAAATGATGCCCTTAGTTTTATCATTAATTAAATGTTTGAATCAAACTTAAATTGATTCTTTAATTAAAATTTTCTTGCACGCACATTTTGGATTTTCAAACAGCTATCGATTAAATTTTTTCTACTACACACAGAAAAAAAAATTCCATTCTTGAAACTAATGATCATTAATAAAAAAAAATTTAAAAAATCCATTAACTAGTTTTCCATACGATACAGATGCAAGCTAATTAAATTAAAGAATCACTCTCCCTGATTTAATGAATTTTTAGTTTTTAAATTTAGCCAATCTAACGGCAGTGCACTTAGTTAAAGTCGTAAATTAAACGTACCCCAAGGTGGCATACTTCATAAATGAAGCATATTAAGTTAATGTTTTTCTGCCTTGGAGATACAAACAATTCAAAACTACAAAAAGAATCCATTACGATTAAGTTATTACGATTTACGTTGCATAAATGTATAAAAAGAATAAAGTACTTAAGGAAATCTTATCAAAGTTAGCTTTTAAGTAAATTCAAAATATTTCTTTTCATTTTGTAGGGAATTAAATATAGGGAAAGGCACATTAAATAAATAAAAAAATTTTGATGTAAATTTTAACGTTCTTTGAAATAGGTAAAATATGTAATAACATTATATAATACTATCATATATACGCTATATAGTACTATCATATAATACAAAGTTTAAATATAAAATAAAAGTAGAAATTAGTTAAATAACTTTTAAATTAATAATCGACTTAACAAGTACTAATTTTGAAATAATGCATTTTTTTATTATTAAATATAGATAACTAATATGTTTGAGGGGGATTGGAGGTAACCCTAGGGTTGAGAGAGATTTCTAATATTGGAATCAATTAGTAGAGATTTCTAAATATTAGTTCATGGTCACAGGATTCGTTAGGGTAATCGGATCGGTTGGCTTATGGTGACCGGTTTCTCGGATTTTTCCAGTGTTTTTGTTTATTTTTTGATTATTTTTGAATTATGTCGATGAATTAAAAATTGAGTTTATCGAAATTTAGATCAATTTACTTTCTTATCGCAATTTAAAAGCATACTAAGTAATTCAAAACGTTTTAGTATATTTTTGTATGACTTTAAATTAAAAATGAAATAGTTTGAATTTCTAATTAAAATTATATCAGGCTATGTAAGTGGGTAAATTTGTTTTGCAAAATTCAAAATGCGGGATGAATAACTTAAATAACTTTATGTCTAAGGCATTAAAAAGTAAAACAATGTAAATCATTCGAACTCATATTTCATATTAAATGTTATAAAAGGAAAAAAAGGAACATAATAAATTTTTTTTTAATATTTGCAATTTTTCATACTAATCTGCCATTTTTTTCTATAATCTCACATGCATTTTTTGCTTTTCAAAGTACAAAGTTTTTAAAAAAATAAAACTAATTTCAAAAATTAGTATTATAATTATTTTTATTTTTACATGCTGTTACAATTTTTAAAATCTTACTTGTCATTTCAAACCTTGAAGATCAATAAAAATATTTTTTTCAAATGTATCCTGATTAAAAGATAACTTTATAAGCAAAAGTTTCAGCAGCAATTTTTTCAAAGATACTATTTTTTTAACTTAGTAACTAATATTATGAAGTTCTAAAAAATTACTTAAAAATATATTATTTGCAGTGCTAAAATTATTTTATCTGCGTTTCAAATGGAAAATTTCTACTTCGTATTTAATAGTATATGTAGAGCTTATTAACCTCAAACCTTTTAAGATTTAAATACACTTGTATCAATCTGAATATATTATCAATACCCACAGCTTTTTATTATTTAATTCTGAATATCCCTGTTTTTTTTATTTCAGGAAATGCTAAGAGGAATTCAAAAACGTGAGTATATTTCAATTTTTCATAAAAACATTACTGTGTATAACAATAGAAATCGAACTTCATTGAAACAATTTCGTTTAGAGAAACAACATTATTTTTTTAAAATAGAAAATACTTCAGAATAATATATTGTCTAAAAATTTCTTGCAGCAATAACAAATAATGATCAGATATAATCATTTTTTGAAAACAATTATGCTTGCGCAAGATTTGTTTGCTCGAAAAAAAATATTTATACTATTTATCGTATTACGAACGTTGTCAGCATTTTGTTAATTATTTGGTTCATTAAGAATATCTGATTGAAATGCAAAATTATTACTAAATATTTACCAATTTAATTTTTAAGTTCTGGGCAATATTTTACCCAAATTGAACTAGAGACTGTATTATGAAGCATTAATGGCCAAGTTATATTTGAGCAATTGTTTTTTTAAATCTAAATAGAGAAGCCTTTCTATAATGGAGTTCATTTTTTACTCTAATGCAGTGCAAATTTAATGCTTTTATTTTTTTACAAAAATTCCGTGACGAAACACCGAGCAAAGGCAATTTCAGTATCAGTTAAAATAACAGTCTTCACATTGAGAATGTGTGCCTCTTTAAACATATTTTGCTTATTTTCAGACATAAAACCAGTATCGAGGACTTATTTAGCATTCATTCAGCATCTCATTTTTATAATTTTCGAAGTATAAAATATTATAATGTGCCAAATAATATTTTTTGTCCCTTTCAGATCAGATACTATGTTTAAAAATAGCAAAGAAGGTAAAGGAGACATGTGCATGTGCCCATCAGACGAAGATGAAAAGCCTCATGTAATGACACCAGGTATAATAATTCAACTATAGTTTATCTGGGGAAAGTTAACCTTTTCTTTCCTACTTTTGTTGACCCCCCAAAGAATAACAGAACCATTCCAGCTGGCCCTTTTTGTTCGACACGATTTGTTTGTTCTATATGACTATAATTAAATCATTTTCTGTATTACTGTGTCCCCATAAATCGAAATTTATAAGATACATTATTCTGATAATAGGCTGAAGGATCCAGCAAAATGTTACAAAGGTAAAAAAAAAATTTTATCAAACGTACATAAAAATTTCGAAAAGTAATTCAGTGACATTAAATGCCAATCACTTTTCTGAGTAATTATCAAATATATCCAAGCCATTATCAGACTGGAGTACTAACTTGCTTAATCCAACTTCTCCAGAAATCATGCCTCAGTTCACTGAGTCAGCCTACGGCAGCTGCTTCCTCATGATTGCTTGAAAAGATATGGTTTTGCTTTAGATAAGCTTTCTTTCAGTTTTGAAAACCGAGAATAGTCAATGAGTGCCAAATCTGCGCTGTATGGAATATAACTCCTAACTTCTTATTTGAGGTTTAGCAACAAAGCTTTAGATTTGCAAGTACAGTGAAGCCTATCATTTCACGTTAGAGGAAGATTGGGTGCTTCATCCAGGCATGGCATATAAAGCAGAGATTCGGCCCGCTTTGTATATTTTCTGCTTCTAAAATAAATAAAAAAATGCTTAACCAAATGAAAGTCCATTTTAGTGAGTATTATAAGTTTTACACAAATTTAAAATATTAGGCAGGCATTTTTTTCATAAACTTATTGAAAAAATTATAATATATAATTTTATTTACATACAATAAATATCTGACGTACACTTTGTAAAAGTGCATAGTTAAAACTGCCAGAATACGTTAAAACTTAACGTGTTTGGCTCTATGGAGACACCGAAAAGTGCGGTAATTTTAATCGAAGTGCTTAGGGAGTAATTTTTAACAATAAAATATAATTATTAAGTTTATCATGATATCTTAAAACCTAAAACAACAACTATAGATTTAATTTTCAGACTTGAATTTTTTACTGAACGTGTGGGGAAGAACTATAATTTTGATAACCGGAAAACTCGATAAATCGTTATCATATGAGCGGAAAACCCAATGAATGGTTTAAATACCATAATCAGAATTATGTACTTTTTTAAAAGAAATTCCATTGCTATTTAGTTCGTTAATTTTTCCGGAAATTTCTTCTTCATATTACACTATAAAAAGTATCTAAGAAATTTGTTTTTACCTCCCCATGAAGAGCCAGATGATTATTTAACATATAAAAATCTTAATCAAAGCAGCAATATTCAATTTAGCTCTTATGCGTTGTTTTATCTTAAAATTAATTTTGAAATTAAAGAATTAATATTAAAAATTAAAAAGCAAAGATTTCTGGAAAAAAATTTCTAAACATCAGTTATCCAATTAAATTGTTTTCCGGAAATTTTTATTTTAACATCTCATTTATTTATTTTATTAGTTACAGTTACAGCAAATTATGTCGCTAGTCAACTGATTAAAAAAATTAATTTATAGTTCACAGGCCAATTTATTTTAAGAGTATATCCAGTTCTAAAGAATTGATCTAAAAATTGAAAATTCAATAATTAAAAAAAAACATCTAACATTAACGATTTGAGTAAACTGTAACATGATAATCTTAAATGACGTTAAAAATAATATTGTTTAAAAAAAATGATTTTTCTAAATTTTAGAGGTTATAACTATGGCCAATTACGTAGATAATCAACTATACTACCCAAGAGATAAACCTCCTTCGCCTTCTTATATTGGTGATCAAGAAAAAGATGAACCACTGCGTCGACGGGACAATGTTTTTGTATGTATAGATTTTAAATCCTTCGCATGTATAGTTTCGTTAAAATTTATTACTTTAAAAATGTTTTCATCTTCTTTTATGATATTTTTCACAAAAAAGCAAAGGACTTAAATATATTGTATTTTGTGTTATACTTTTGTGGTAATTGTTAGATTTTAGCAATATTATGAAAATATATGTGCATATAGTCATTTCAACTTTATTTAACCAGAATGTTTTTGAATTAACATGGATATAAACATGGATGCTTACGGATATATTATGCCAAAAAATTAAAAATGTATCCCGGAAAAATAAACATGTATTTTTAAATAAAATGTTTAGGAATTTTATACTACCCGCTTTTATCTCGAAAAATATCTTTAATAAGAAACTTTTGAATGCATTCATACTAGTGTATTATTCATACTAAACAAATTGAGAAGATGAATGATTTTTTGTGTAATTTATATTATTTATTCTAAATATAATTCAAAACTGCAGGGATAATTTTTAAACATGGTAAACTATTCAAAATATTTATAAGTTTTTTTTTTCCTTTTTTGATTTTATAACAAAGTTGGAAATACATATAAGAACTTTTAGAATTCTTATAAATTTGTGTTTTTAAGATGTGGAATTTAAAAATTTATAAGGTAAAAATTCTTGGATTTTGTACACTTAAAAAATTTGGTTTAAATTTTTTATAATATAGTATTTTTATTTATAATTTTTCATTTATAATTTTTATAAAAATAGCTTATTTATTGTTATGTCTGAAGGAAGTAGCAAATTTCTTGTTAACTTCGAAATAAAATGCTAGTCTATACTTTGTAAAAAAAACTTAAAATGCACTTTGAAAATTTAAATAGAGGCAAAACTTATAAATGATACTTCTAAAACTCTATGATATTCAATTCACGTATATAATAAAACATATTTCAATTTTAATCTTATGATACAGAATCCACATGCAGCGTCTTTCAGAGAATACTAGTAGATTCATGAATGTTACAGTTTATATCGTTTTCTTCCGTATATTAAATTCTCAATTTCACCATACCGCGATATCGAATACTTTATCACTTTCAAAAAGTAATGCCTAAAATGGGATATTTGGAGGAAGATATCGGCGAAATCAAAACCTTGAATAAAAGTTAGCTGAATATATCTAGTTTCATGTTACTAGTCTATCCTCATTTCTAAAGAATAACTTAGAAGCAGAATATGTTACTATAATAGTTTTTTTAGACGAATTCTTATGAATCTTGAGAAGATCCGCTTAATAGATATCTCAGCCAATTTTAAATTAATTAAAAAATAAATAAACGAAATATAAAAAAGTGAGGAATAAAAAATAAATTACGTATAAGTTCTTATGAGCCAATATATTATTAGGTTTAAACAATGACACTTTCTGAGTTATCTTCAGAGAAATATTATAACCTTGATTTTAGATGTTGCATAAATAGTCTATTATTTGAAACATAAATTAAAGAAAAATAGTCGGAGATGGAATTGTGCGGTTTACTGCGTTCCGCTAAGGAAACCAGGTTTAGTTATTCACAGTATTTTCAAAATAAATGGAAAAGTTCGTCAACATGCACTGTAAATAATTCCATATCAAATCCCGGTGTACCGATATTTTGGAGCATCATCGCAAACATGCACTCAGGTTGTCAGTACTTTTAACCTTAATTTATTCCGTAAATTTTTTGATATGATTTTTTTTCGTGACACTGTTAACTGAAAAACTATACAAATAATGTCTTCAAAGAAACTACCTACTTTTTTGAAAAAGCAGCATGGTGCAGGAAGTGGGCAAAATTATCAGACATCCAAAAAAAAATAATTCGGCAGGAATGGTCTAGCAAACAGCATAATATTTTTATAGCATTTTTAGTCATCAGATCCACCTGTTGGCGAATATAACAACTAATTTAAAAACTTGGTAAAACTATTTATTAGTCTTATAATTTTTAAATATTATATAATATATAAATGTGTTTCAGGTAAGGTTACAACATTCCCTAACAAGAAGGAAAAAGGGTTCTGATTTGACAAAAATTAGTGAAGAAAGTCAAATACACGCGTTTCATTCTAACCCTTTAGAAAAGAAAAATTTTGTTCAACTTCCGGACGCTATTAGTCAACATATATCAACAGAAACAATGATTGCTGATGATCCTCGTAAGTCTATCAAAATTTTTTGGTGTTTTGAATGTTCTAACTAATAAGTTGTATTTTAAGTACCCCATTGGAATAAAGCGGATTCTTATGGAAAACAAGGAAAAAATAATAATAAATAAATAGATTTTTTTACTTTATAAATTAATCTTGAATTTGAACCTTTAAATTAAATTAAATGCGTTTTTAAGTTACATTTCTTGGAATAAATTAAAAAGTGGTTGATTTTTCAAGTTTATTTTTAAGGCCTACCGTAAATGCACTGGGGAAATTCTTTTTTCGTTTTATATTGCATGAGATTTTGAAATAGACCTTATACATTTTCGTGTCGCTGATTGCAGATTGGTTTTATTCTTCAAGTTAAGGTCCTTATGCAATTTAATCATATATCCCTAATCAGCAGAGTGACCACACTTCTCTGTTACGTAGGGAGTGATAGAAAATGGGAGATAACTCATTTCAGTTTATGATGCGATACGTTAAGCTCATACGTTTATTTTTCTCCGAAATATTATTTTCAAAAGAGCAGACAAAGGAGCATGCATGTAAACCTATACGTTCTTATAAACTTGTACAATCATGCAAAAAACAAACTTCTAAAAATTTTATTTATAAAACATCAGCAGCTTTCAAAAAAAAAAAGAGAAAAAAAGGCAAATTTTAGATTTGAAATCCTCACACCCAATTTAGATAAGATTAAGTACTCGCATAAATGCATCGAAAATTGTTCCAAAAATCTTTGCATAATTCCAAGTCAAAAGTTACAGCTGAATTTATCAGATAGGATAATTATCCAATTGGATAGATTTTATTAGAGAAAATGGCAGAGAAATAATGATAATAACTAATTAAAGTCAGTTAGCAACTATTTAATTAAAATAAATTCAAGTTTTTACACACGTTAGTTATATATATAGTTTAAAGAATTAACAAATAATTATTGAATGAATATATTTGTATTTGTAATGAATACAATTTATCGTATTAAATAGCGAAAAAAAAATTCAATTGCTTTCATAATCTGATTAATTTTTAGAAACATTAAAAGTTGCTTAATGTGAAGTTAATTCTTACTTAACTTGTAAAAATTTAATTTTTAAAACTATTTTCAAATGTTTCTATACATAAAACAATAATTTAACTCATGAATAATAATTAAAATTTTTGTTCATTGTAAGCATTATTTAGTTATACTTTGACCTCTGAATAGGCTCGTATTAAATGAGGGATAAACTAATCTTAGCAAAGTACAGCTGCTAAAAATCCCCCTTACACCCTCCAACTTTTCTTGCATGTAAGCATGAAATTTTAATTTTGCAGCCGACTGTATTCAAGTGACCAGCGCAAAATGACCTCTTCTTTCTTAGACAACCGATGGTACTCCGATGTGCAGTCCGGCTTGGAACCCGAACGAATTCACATCATTACTGGAATCACGACTCCTTGTTGACCGCTCGGATGAGGATTACAGGTCATCAGAAGATAAGAAGAAAAAGATCGCCGTTCACGATCTTCGAATTGTCTTCAAGCTCAGATAAGAGATCAAGGGAGAAACTCACAATTCTTCACATTTAAATTTTCTACCAGAAATATTTGTAGGATTTGGAGGCTTTAATAATTTGCATGTACTCATCTGAGAGTTTTATATTTACTCAAATTTGTATTTAAATATATTTTGTTAATATTTATTTTCTTAAGTACTACTGAGTTTGTCAATTCAAATCGGAAAATTTATAAGTTAGAGCACTTTAATACTTAACCTTCATATCGAAAGTATGTTACTCCACAGTGTTAGAATTTTCATTCTAAAATTATGGCAAAAATAACCGGTTAATTGGATGGCTGTAGTCTGTCCTTCCCATTAATCGTAAAAGTAAAAAAAAAACATTATTTTACCTTTACGGTTTTGTAACTCTTTACAGCTAGTATAGTTATAGAGCCATAAATACAAAACTATACGGTTTTTTAACCATTTACAAGTAGCAAAGTTTCAAAACAGTTAAAATCGGATTTTGGAGCTAGGTTTTGCGTTAAGAAATGGGCATTGGAGAATGCGGAACATTAGAAATTCGTTGAAAAATGAAGGAAGAGGAAGATACATTGTGGTGTCAATGCTGGGACTCGAACACTTGTTCTGTCGGTCACCTGTTCTGACAGAATATTAGCCCTTTCGGCTATAATATGTACGCAACAGCATGGAACTAAGTTACTTCATTAGGTATGTTTAGTTGATGCGATAAAAGGCGGGTTGTTTAACCTATTAGGTGAAATCAACAAAAGGTGAATAAGGTGAAAGTTTTCATATGGTGTTTCAAGTCTGTTAAACTAATGCATCTAAACATTTCAGAAATGGATTATATAGGTAAAAATGGATTGAAAATATTCCAATAGTAAACGTAAATAACACAAATCTTAATTCCTAAAATTCAGGTACTGTAAATAATTCCTGATCGAATTGGACAATCCGAAACAGTACTGGCACTGTGGAGTGCATGTTCCTAAAAATTCCTTTAACCTTAAAGACCATTTTTACTGTAAAATTTTACCCTGCATATTTTAGTGTAATATTTATTTAACTACAGTGATTCAGTCATTTTTCAATAGATGTTACTGAAAAATTTACGTTATATCAGTCTTTTTTTAGTACAATTTTAAAATTTTACCAGAAAAAAATACCGGCATCCTGAGTGCCGGTTTTTTTTACCATAATTTAACCCAAATATTTTTTTAAATATGCTCTTTGACATTTTTGCACCAAAGGATATTAATTTAACTTCTGAACTAAGAAATAATTTCAAAAAATAGCACTTTAATTTTTAACAGAAATATTACAATTAAATAATGAAACTACAATTCATTAATTACATTTTCAATTTCATTATTTCGGATAAAATATTATGTAACTCAGAAGTCATGAATACGCTTAAATTATAAAAGGAGAATACTTAAGATAAAAATATTTAGGAAAATTATGCGTTTTTTAGGAATAAATGCAAATGAATGGAAATTTAAATTTCTTATTCAACATTTTCTGTTTTTATAAACGCTTTTCCAGTCTAGAAAGTATAACTTTTAAAAAAAAAGCACGTTGTCTACTAAACAACACTATACTAAAATGGTTGCAAATTAAGTTTTCTCAACTAGTATAGATGAAGAAGTATTATTTTTTTTTCTTTTCATGTTCATGAATTAAATCAAGAGCAAAATCTTTTCATGGATTATCATGGTTTTTTTCATCATGGAATAGGGACAAAATGTCGTATTTGTCTAAAAACATTTGGATGCTATTTGAATACTGTTTCAAACACTAAATAACACCATGATATGCAAAAAACCAAAATTTTTGCAGTGTTTGGTTTCTTCTTTATTTTCCTCTTTAAGGTTATAGATGTTTGGAAAATTAAATTGGGAGAGCTATGGGACAGAATTTTGATGTTTTTCAAGCCATCCCACTAGAATGTATTAGTTATCTTTAGTGTCTTTGCTCTTATCTGAATATTTTTATAATTCAAGAAAAGAACTCGAAAAGACTATAGAAATTAAACAAACAATGGTCGAGGGTTTGTCGCTTCAATAGAAAAATGCCGAAACGATTCTACCAATCGCACTGAATTTGATAACTATTTTCACAGAAGCAAACGATATTTCGAGCAAAGGTTTTTTTTTCAGCTAGAAAAATTTATCTTAAGGCTGAAAAAATTTAAATTTGCAGTCGTATCTATTTTAGACTAGATTAAATCCAGGCTAGATTAATTTTTATTTTATTGATATTTTAAATTATAATTTAATTCAGAAAATTATTAAGGTTTTCTAAAATTTACAGCTATTGCTATTTATGAGCAAATTCACATGGTATTAGAGGTTCGAGTGGATATGTGTCTAGAATGGTCATTTTGGATAACTTTTTTTTTATTTATTTGTCAAATTTCATCTGTGAGATATCATAGAATTGCAAAATTGATGCATACTTTTATGTCATGTGCACAATCAAAATATGAATATTTAAGTAGAAATTTGTAAAATAGGGTTCATGTGGTGAAAATAATTTAAAGGGTGAAAATATGTTATAAATTATACGGTATTTTTTAATTATTTAGATACACTCGAAGTAGTAATAATTTCTAGTGGAGTCACATGGTGATGGGGCTAGTGTATTCACACTGACACCAATCAATTTTCAATGAAAGAAATATGAATTGGTTATACATGTAACATATTTGAATTTATATATTTTTTAGATCAAAATGATTTGGTAAAATGATATATGTTTGCAACTAGAGATTTCAATACTAACTAAAAAATAGGCGAGAAATATTTGCATTGAAAAAAATATTTAACCCTTTATATTACATTCTTTATATTATTTTATTACATAACTCTCTTTAAAAGCTTTACTAAAATTTAAAAGAGGAGGGATGCAATTCAATATAGATGAATTAAAGAATCATTTTTTTCCTAAATAAACTAAAATAGAATATCAGAAAACGGTCTTCTCTTTTACGAGCTGTTTACATTGCTCCAGCGAGGGACGTATCGCTAAGTTATGTACTCCGTGCGTTGTCCAAATGGACCATTTCATCATCTAAATAAATCAATGGTTATCAAAATTCATTCAACAAAATTGGTTCCGTGCTTTCAAATAAATTAAAATGATTAGTAAATTTCAAATGTATTGGTTCGTGTTAAAATGACTTTCTTAGTACAGTGTAATGCTCCATTGCAAATTAGTATTGTAATTAAAACGTGCCAATATCCACTAAGGTTTAGATTAAAATTGATTTTATTTGCCTTTGGATATACCTTACTGAGTTGTAATAAATGACTATTTATTAAGTTTTCAAGTTTGTCGACATTAGCCTCATGTAGTGGAACTAGTGTGATCAAAAACATATTTTTTAAAAACAATTTTATGGAAAAAATAAATAGATTCTAGATATAAAACAGAATGCAGGTAACCATTCAAATTATTGTTAAAAAATACTTAAGATACAAACTTAAAAGAATTTTCTTTACTTGGGATTTTCTTTCCATTTTAGTTCCTTAATGTGTATTGAAAGATTATTCTCAAGGGCCTATATATCTTTTTAAAAAAACACCACACATTTGTCTGAAACCGAGTCAACTTGATACTGTCTGTAAGAGACCCAAAGTAATAGCTTTCGTTTATTTATTAGTATGTTAATTTCACTTACTTGGAATCTTAAAAAGTAAAGAAATATGAACTAAAAGTAATAAGATAGCACAAAATTTATCAAAATATCCATCTAAATTTGAGTTGTATATTACATTTAGAAAGATCTTACATTGCCTCAGTTTTGGTCACATTACCACCAAATTGTGAAGCCTTAATTTCCTTGATCCTTTCTACCCACAACTGATTGCAGTGTGAGTATTTTACTTTTACAACAAAAAATTTCCTTCCTCATATACGTTTTAGAAAAAAAAATTACACTTACTTCTTCTTGGCTATAAAATCATTGCTTTGAAACGGTCTTTGATTGCTTACGAATTAAGTTGTGTGAAGATAAAAACACAAAAGAATTGTGAGTTTTTCCCAGAAAATCCTGCCTTTATTTGAAAAATGCTCAGAAGAACCAGATGTGTAAGAAGATTAATAAGAAAATAATGCTGTTAGTGCTATTTTACTGCACAAATTGAATATTTTTATGAAATATATGTAAATTATGACTTATGTACATATGGAAAAAAAATTATATTCAATGAAAGAATATTTAATATAAGAACATGACTGGAAAAGATGTTTTTTTTCTTTTTAATTCTCGCAACAGTTTGGTGTACAAACAGATCTTGAATTATGGAAGATTGTTGCACTACTCATCACTTTTCCAGGCATGTTGCATTTGATAATAATGCTTCCATTGAAATAGCAAATTTTGTATGTATACCTTTCCAGTTCTTTTTTTCCACATTTTGTGGAAAACTAAATATTGGAATAATGTGAGCTATACTTTCCTGTTGTTTAGATGAAAATAAACATTTTTCACTGTTCCAGCGTTTTAAAATAAAGTTCTATAAAAATTATTAGAATTTATTTATAAAAAGTGTTTGTTAATTGGATTTAACTGGTACGTTATGTCTCTAATTGTTAAAATTGTCTCAGTATGTCGAACATGAATCAATGCAACATTATCAAACATTTTGAAGCATAATTATTATTACATGCTCATCTTTTATTTTTATTTTAATGAGATCCTCCAAAAACATAATATCAAACGTATCCCACTCATCATAAGTTGATGTTTATTTTTCTTACGTTAAATCCTTGAACATAATTTTCACGAATAATAAAACAGTGAAATTAAGCAATATTTTTGGAAAATTAAATATTCAAATGTAAAATATGCCACTCTACACTGTTAAAAATCCCATTCTGAAATTATGGTAAGCTAACAAGCAGCAGTCTCTCCATCCAATTAACCTCAAAGGTAGAAAACGTTTTTTAGCTTTGAAGTTTTGAAACTGCTTACAACTAGTATGGTTATAAAATCATGAATACAAAACGATAGTGTTTTATAACCATTTACAAGTAGTATGGTTTCAAAACCGTAAAAAAAGGAATTTAACTGAACATCGGAGCTAGGGTTTTCATGTAACAATAGACATTGGAGAGTGCGGGACGCGGAAAAACACTTCAAGTGTTGAAGGGAATGGACGAAATATTGTGGTGTCAGCGCTTGGACTCGAACCCCCGTTTTAACGATCATGACCAAATAGCCCTCTATTCTATAATGTGTATGCAGCTGCATGGAACTAAGTTGATTTATAGGGCAGGTTCAGTTAGTGAGATCGAATTCAGGCTGTTTAACCGTATTTGGTTAAAGCGGTAAATAAACTGTTTTTCCAACCTTTAGCAGTTTGAATACCATCATATTTATGGCTATTTGACTGTTTTGTTTGAATAAGGTAAAATAACAACTAAAAAAATTTTTTCTTAACTATTTTTTCGAGAAATTTCTAACAATTTAGTATGTTTACCAGGATCGTTTAAAATCTTGACTTCAGAATGAATTACAATTTAAAAATCTGTTAGATAGACAAATAGACTGATGCTCAAAATCAAAGTAGGACTTGAAACTACATCTCGAGTAAAATGTTTGTCCAATATTTTCAAGAATGATTTTTTTGTCGAGTGTAATGTGCATTTTCAAATATTTTTTTTTCATTTCCTTACGCTTCATAGAAAACGATGCATGATAGTACATTGTAAAACATCTCGGATCAAATTACGGTAAAAAAGTAACAGTCTTTTGTGTGCATCATAAATAAACTCAATTTTACCATAAAACCCATGTTTTAGAGTAATATAAAGTAGAGTAATTGATTTTACGGTAATTATTACCGTAAAAATTACAGCAGACCATATTTTTTGTTCCGGAGCAAGTTCCTGTAAAAATGAATTTTACTGTAAATAGAACCGGCGCCCTATCTTCGATTCTTTACAATGTAGACATCTGAGACCCATTACTGGACAAAGGGGATATATATATATATATATATATATATATATATATATATATATANGGCCGGGCAAGGTTGACTCAGCCTTTCATCCCTTAAGTGGGTAGACAAATGAGTACCAAGCATGCTTGGGAACTAAACACTTGGGGTTCCGCGTTCGGCTGACCACCTAACTGGAACATCTGCTCCTGTACCCCAGAGCCCAATGTCAAGAAAACTGAGATGGGCCCAGTAGGCCTTGGCCCCCTAGGGGCTGTCGCGCCACTGAGTTTAGTTTAAGTTAAAGCTACATTTTTTTCCTTCGGCGTAATTTAGTTAAGCTAAGATTATAAGAAGTA